CGACGCGTCTCTGCAAGGATGGAAATGTCCGTTTAAGAAGGGACTAAGGCCGCGACTTGTCATTTCGTTCTTGAGGCACTACATCCGGCGAATTGACAAGCTTCAATTACCATGGACGTAGATGCCCTAAATCATGTACAATCATCTCAAGAATATTTCCATCTGAATGTATCAATGCGATTGCAGGAGGGACAAGACACCTGGCTCGACCAAGGAAGAGCTTTAATTTTTCCTGATTCCTTTTTGTCTTCGAACGGATTGGCGAACCCGGATAGCTTCTACGTGGATTAAGTTCGAGAAAGAGGAGGATTCGGCTTCAGATGAGACGGAACTGGGGCGAATTCGGCGCGCAGGACAGTGAGACGCCGGCCGCTCCGCGATCGAAATGAATACTCATCACGGTGAAGAAAGTTTGATTCCGGTTCGGCAATGAGCCAAACCAAAGGTCGTGGGAAATTCATTCGAAGATCACAAAGGTCAATGGAGCCCAGAGATGGATAGCCCCACGACGTCCCCCGCCTCCGTTTCTATTTCGTTCCTCATGACTGATGTTGTCCGAGGATTTCTGTTAGATACGGGTCCTTGCCCCCGTCTCCAAAGATTTCTTCCGGTCCGCACGGCAATGTACAATACTGACCTTCACGGAGCGAACTCCTCAACGAACGCTATGCGATCCGAAGGGATACTCCCTTCGGTCTCTTCTTCGCGTTGTTGTCGCTGCTCTCGCAGTAGGCGGCGGCACAAATCTTTGTAACGGTCCCTTTGCGCCTCCAATATTTCGATACGTCGCTGCAAGGATGGAAATGTCCGTTTAAGAATGGACTAAGGCCGCGACTTGTCATTTCGTTCTTGAGGCACTACATTCGGCGAGTTGACAAGCTTCAATTACCATGGACGTAGATGCCCTAAATCATGTACAATCATCTCAAGAATATTTCCGGCTGAATGTATCAATGCGATTGCAGAACTCAGACGGGAGACGGAGGAGGGACAAGACACCTGGCTTGACCAGGGAAGAGCTTTGATTTTTCCTGATTCTTTTTCATCTTCGAACGGATTGGCGAACCCGGATAGCTTCTATGTAGATCAAGTTCGAGAAAGAGGAAGATTCGGCTTCAGATGAGACGGAGCAGGGGCGAATTCGGCGCGCAGGACAAAGACGCCGGCCGCTCCGCGATCGAAATGAATACTCATCACGGGAACGAAAGTTTGATTCCGGTTCAGCAATGAGCAAAAGCAAAGGTCGTTGGAAATTCATTCGAGGATCACAAAGGTCAATGGACCCCAGAGATGGATAGCTCCACGACGTCCCCCGCCCCCGTTTCTATTTCGTTCCTCATGACTGATGTTATCCAGGGATTTCTGATAGATACGGGTCCTTGTGAAGAGATATATGGCACAGATAATATCCCGAGAAATTCCGAAGGATCGATCGCGGGCCCCGTGAATGAATCTCGCGGGCTACTCGTGTCCCGCGGGACACGTCTCTGACACCTCTGGTCTAGGCCAATGACTAGATCGAGGAGCAGAAGCCGTTCGCCACCGAGAAAAATGGAAGGGATAGCGACATACGGACTGCTTAGAAAGAGTCGAGGTAGCAATCTGTTTGCCTTCGCAGGAACAGGAGAGCGACCGACGAGAAGCCCCAGAGCTCTAGAGGGAAATCTCTCCGATATCGACGACGAAATGGCCAGGGCGTTGGGCTTCACCGAAGGAATACACGGAAATCTTGTGAGGATATGTAGACGACTTCTGGGAATGATGCGAAATCGAAACCCGAAGATCTGCTGAGTAATCGCCCTGAAACAGGGTCGCATGTAGCAAATGATCGTTAAAGATGATCGCCCGAAGGATTCATCATCGAATTTGCATTTGAGGGGATTCAATCCTCTCGAGTGTCCGAGTTACACGTGGCAATCGGTTGTCTATGTAAATGAGAAATGGCCATCGAAGACAGAGACACAAGTCGGGAAACGGATGGAAACGTGGCTCTCGAAAATGCTTCAGCCTTGATCGGCACTTTCGAACACGATCCGAAGAGCGGGTTGACGTTCCAGCCGTGGTTCTCCGAGAACGAACACAGCTCACATCAGACTCTCTGTGAGTCTGATGCGGAGCGACGTCAGCTCCCAGTCGCGCGCTCGGTAAAAGTTAGTACACGCGAACCTCACCGAATGAGCCCGAAAGTCTGGAGTATGCTGCACTGGTCATCACACTGAAAGACATGTTCGCCGTTTCGAAGTCTCTGTTCCGTCGTGGGTCTGAATCGTTGCTTCAAGACCGCCACGCTCGCGGGGAAACCGCAGAACTGATCGCAAATAACGCTATCTCAGGAGCGGATGGGTTGAGTTCTTTCTAATTGGACTCCCTTCGAATTTTCATGATGCTTCCTTCTGTTTCCGAACCCAGCTATCAAGGCTTGCGAAATTTTGTTATTATGCATAAAAGGCGTCGACGACGAACCTTCGGTAACCGCTGATGAGGTTCGGTTGGTCATGGTGAGATATGAGACCGGTACAAGCGATGCTGAAGTCAAGTACAGTGCGACGAAGGAGAAGCCAACTCCGACCGTTTTCGCCACCTCGCTGCAAGAGCCAGCGAAGACTTCTCAAGCCACCGGTCGCCAGTCATTCAAGGAGCAAGCGTCTCGCGCTGTGCGTTTGCCAAAAACTTGATAAGCCGGCAATCGTCGTTTTACTCGGTCGAATGACAAGGTGCTCAGATCTCCGCAACTTTCTGAGGGTCGGACGTTCATCACGCTCGACTTTAACGGGTCACCCATCGGATTCCGCGCAAATTCTGGGGTTGACATCTCTACCATTGGGATTCGGACTCGGACGACTCTCGGGTGCTTGGCGCTCACTGAGTTCGGATGCCGATGCACTTCTGTCGATGGTGATGATATCATGCTCATGGGCTATTCCATGGCGAAATCCGCTCACAAGGGTAACACCATCCAAGAACTTCTACTCGTTCTCACGGGGAGCAAATTGAGCCTGTTCTGCGGTCACTTGCTGATACAGCTCGGCTTAGAGGTCTGGAAAGTCGAGAATTCACAACCAGACGTGGGTCTCGTCGACTCGACTTCTCAACAGACTTCGAGTCGGGGCTCGGGCTCTGTAAAGAAACCTAATGGCTTCTCACGGCTCTGCGCAGATTATTCCACCGGACTCGACGAAGCTCTCGGGGATATCGACCATCCGCTTCCTGATACGGAGGGAGTCATGACCAAGTTCTCCGGAAAGTCTTCCCAAAGTTGGATGTGGCCGAAGCCTACTTAAAATCGATATATTCACTACACTGGGTGATCACTGAATCGAGAAGAGACCGCATTTGGCTTGACGGGTGCAGTCGCCAGGAGGCTGAGCAGCCAAGAACTTGGACGACTCCAGATACAGCTTCCCAAAGATTGACTCCCTTGGGCGGCAAGGTTTGAGGATTTCCCCCCGACCGCGAAATTTCCGAAGCCATCCCGCCAGACCGTAATTATGACTCGATGAGCTACAGAACGCTCCGTCTGAACTCACCTGCATCTTGAACAGCATACAGCACTCTCTATTTTTATCACGTGCATGCTTCGGACTTGGAGAATCGTCCTGTCTCTCGGCGCGATCGCGTGCTCTGTACTCTCATCACAGTTATTCTCGTTCCCAGAAATTTAAAACTCATTCTGCTGTCTGGTATTTAGGTCTTGCACGTCTCCTCATGGAAACGTGCTCGGGTTACAAGACATCTGCAGCTTCTCTCGTCTAAAGAGGAAACGAAGAGAAACACCAGAGACATCACGATACAGCGACGAGGGGTGGGGCCGAGATCGCAATGCATTCTACGCGTACATACCTCGCAGGGGAGAACAAGGCAGTAATGCTGAAAAATCGACTTCAAGAATGCGTTCAACAGCCGAGACACGATGCTCAGAGAGGTGCATGAGAGATTCCCCGAGCTCTACCCTATGGTCTCCCAGTCCTATGGTCAAGCATCTCCGATCACATTCGGAAGTTCCGTCATCCAGTCACAGACTGGATGCCAGCAGGGCGATGTCTTTTCTCCGCTCCTGTTCTGCCTGACGGTTCAAAAGACGCTGTCCTCTCTTCAGAGTGAAGTAGCGCTTGGATATCTCGACGATTTCGTTCTGATCAGTCAAGACGCACAGACGATAATTGACGATGTTCGCAGCATACAACAAGATTTTGCCGTTCACGGTCTTTCGTTACAATCAGCCAAGTGCGAAGTGTTCGTCCAGGGAGCCTCCGCCGATACTCGAGCCAATGTACATCGCCTGGTCTCCGACTGCCTTCCTCAATGTCGCTTGCTATCTTTTTAGGGATGTTGAACTCTTAGGAGCTCCCGTATTCGAATCCGGACTCCCAAGGGCGCTGAGGATCAAATCCCAAGCTTATGAGATCATTTCACGGAGACTGGCTTATGTTGGCAGTCATGTAGCGACGTACATCCTGCAACGATCGGCCGGCGTACCCAGACTGACCTGCCTAATGCGCGCAAGTCCAGCCTTCAAGGCTAAGGAGGATCTCCTGCGCATTGGCGACCAGTTTGCAGCAGCCTTCGAGAGCATCCTGAAAATTTCCTTATCAGGGGATGCTCTCACTCAGCTGACGGGAAGTACTGAACATGCCCCACGCCGATCGGGCTGAAACTTCAGGCTTTTTTTCTCCTACATGGGGATAGAAGAACCCTAGAATATTACCTGCGTATGGCCACCCTGAGTATGTTCATTTGACTGACGAAAATTGGCCCTTCAGCATTGGATTCTATGGACTCATTGCAATGCTATGCAGAATGATGATTATATGCTTTATTTCACAGTTTTTCTGTAGATTTCTACTTGAATTAGGCGCCAGAATGCCGTCTCTATTCTGAAATCCACTGTTTGTTTACATAGACTCCAGACGACGCGCTCCCGCGCGAAGCCTCGTTTCGCGCGAAACCTGTTGTTCTCTGTGAGTTCGAAAGTCAGAAAGGCATAGAGACTCTGTTGTGAGATGTCGGCCCGACTGGAGTCTGTGATCGCTCTCCTGAAGATCAAGTTCAGCAGCTTGAGTTTGAGCGACGACGCACTGCGGAATCCGCGCATGATTGAAGAGAAAATCGCTGATGCAGTGTTCAGCAGTCTTCAACAGTACGACCAAGCGGATGCATTCGAGCTGGAGCAAGACGACGAAGTGTACGAATCCAGTTATCAGGATAGCGAGTTCGTTCCCGTGTATGAGGACTTCGGCCTCAATCGAGAATTTTTCTCGCTCGAGTACATTTCCAAAGTTATCACCTACGTGGATACCCATCCTACGCACAGCTTCGCGACTCTCCAAACGAAGTTTCGGCGATTGGAAGATCGGAGCTACATCAGACGCTTCCGTGAGTACCAGACTCAAATGGGAACATGG